TGTTTTCCATTTCGCCACAAGAGAATTGTGTCAGGTTCCGCAAGTGCACAAGCACAGATACGTCAGCATGGCACATTGACAGGCAGCTTGTTCAAATAAAAGAACTGACAAAGCTCTGAGCGACTCGATTGTTGAAAAAAGTATTTACAGAAACACACGCACATGACAACAGAAAACAAAAACTAAGTGATTCCCTCTGCTGGTTCTCAGAAACTGTCTGTCCATGGTGCTGAAAGGATATATTTTCAGTCATTGAAATAGACATTTCATACTTTTTCCACTCCAAAGTTAATTACAAATGGTTGTAGAATGTATATAATATTATAATAATAGTAAAATGTTAGCAAATGGAAAACATAAGCTTTTGTGACAGTGTTGCCTATGTAAAGTCAAGAACATTCAACAACTTGTGTGGAGCTTATCTTTGACAAATAGCATCATATGGTGCTGGTTGTTATAGACAAAATAGCGTGAAACCAGATGAGTGGTGCTTAGTGCAAGAGAATAGTTCAAATATACTAAACCATAGATACAAATGTGTTCTCCATCTATTGCATCTGTCTCTAAAGATTCCATGATCTGCCAGACATTTATCACTTTCTAAATGACTGTTTTTCGTGACAAATTGTACAAGAACACAGACCAGGAATCTACAGTCATGCTAGCAGCTTTGTGAGGCAAAACAGTTCTTTGAACTAACTGCTAACACCAGCATGCTAACATGCTTACAATGACAATACTAACATGCTGTTCTTTTGCAGATGCATTTTTTCCTATGTTCATTATCCTAGTTTAGCATGTTAGAATGCTAATACTTGCTAATTAGCACTAAACAAAGTACAGCTGAGGCAGCTGAGACTGGTGGGAATGTGATTAGTATTGTAAGTAAGTACAGCTGAATGTCTAAATCAAATGTCATGACAATTCATCCAATAGCTGTAAGAAATCAAAGAACATTGCTAAATCTGCGGCTGGCACTAGAGGTCAAAGGTCATGGGATCACTAGTTATTAGGATTCTTGGGGAGCATGGATGTCTGTACAACATGTCAGGGCAATCCAATAGAAATATTTCTGTCTGGACCAAAGGGGTGCACCAAAACAACCAAAACTGACACCCCTAAAAGCAACTTACATTATACTTTTACAGTCAAACTAAATTATCTTTTCTAATGGTGACAAAAAGGTAGAACCTTTATTTTACACCAATAATTGTTTGTCTCTGTTTCATGCTTAGTGCTGTGCCCATACGAAAATGCACACATTTGGCAAGGTTCTCTGTCCCTACCACAAAGATGAAGCCGTCTCCAAAGCAAATGCCCAACAGAAACCATAATAAAAACATGTAAATGCCATGCTAAATGTAAAGATTTTTCCTGGCCATATAGAAGAAAATATTTACTTTTTGACATAACAATTGATGTTTCAGAGAGAAATTATTGCCAAGACGCTGTGTGACAGAGAAAGTGTGCAGACACAAAGATGTGACTGAACTCCAAAACTCCAGCCAGGAAATAGGGAGATGTCTGAGACTCTGTAATTACGTTTAAGCTGACCTGATGTTAAGTCTGGAGGTCTAATAACCAGTGTTTATATTGTGGCTACCAAATATGAACATGACAACAGTGGTGTGTTTGATAGACCCTGTGTTGTTTGAATACAACCAAACAGTATATATCATCCTCAAATTAAGTTCCTTATTAGTGGAGTTATGACAACATGATAGCCGTATAAATCTCAACAATGACCTGATCAGGTTTTCCCCTCGCAGAGCAAAGCATCTGTCATGAACACCACAAAGGATCTGAGGTGTATTTGTAGTTACTTGAATTATTTCTGACTACTGAGATCATTTTTGGGTCAGAGAGGACAGTCAAACAACTTTCAATCTTCTACCCTACACCTATTTTATCTGTCCCAATTGTAGCATTTATAGGTATATAAGTAGTATATTAATAAGTGTTTCCACTATAGTGTTGCTGCCATGGGTATAATAATATTTCTACCTTGGGCACACTTGAATTTTACATGATGGTGAAATGTTAGCAGAAAAAAAAGGAGCATAGAGGTTGAGTTGGACCAAAATATAAAGTCATAAACATGATCACCCAAGAGGGAAACCTTGTTTAATATAGTATAATAATAATGACAAACAATGCCCTACTATCACTTCTCGTAAAAGCAGGTCCAAAGACAAATCAGATCTGAATAGAGGTCTTTTATAGAGATAGGAAAGGAATATTATTTCATTATAATGTCTCAACCACACTTAACAATCTACCCACCCAATTATGGCGGGCGCCCAGGTTGCACTGTCACAGTAAAGTATGGCCTAGAAAGAGCCAAGAACTTTTATTGAGCTAATATTAATTGATTTGTCCTGACCTACCCAGACCTGGCCTCCCCGGGCTCAGCTTCCTCAGTGGAGCAGTGCCAAAGTCTGTCCTAACTCTGCATAAAAATAAATGAGAAGCTATGGGGCTAGTCTCTAAAGCCAGAGGATATTGTTCGATTTCACGTCAGCCCTCCAGGAGGCAATTTAAAACAAGCCAGCATGCTAATCAACCTGGTATAAAAGGCAGTTCTGGAGGGTGGCCCATTCTTCTTTTTTTCTATCTCTCCTATTGAAACCAAGGCCAAAAAAGAACCTTAACAATCTGAGGAGAAAATTGTAATTGGGCCTGTATCTGAAAGAGCATTTTACTCCAGTGTAATGTGATGTGGAAAGGAAGGTAAGTACTCTTACTTTAAAAGAATGGCCTGGCCAGTTAGGCTGGCATGCCATTGTCACATTTTTGTTTGTTTTTCAATCCAGGAAAAACTCAAACAAGCCCCTTTGGTGTAACAATCATCCCAGAAAAAATATGCTTACATAAAAACATGTTGGCATGGAAAAATCTTTACTCCACTGGAAGACAGAGCCAGGCTGTGACCTTCCTTGTTGCCATCAATGTCTCAGTGGAACCACATTGTGAGCCTCATCTGAGGAGGCAGAGCCCCGATCCCCACAAATAATTCAAAACTCTAATATCCCCATGGTATTTGTTGCGACCACAGAAATACGATATTGTTCATTCTCTGCTTGTGCTCTGAACCCACAGGTCAGGTGGTAGCAGATCACAGACTTCTCTGTGACTTGGAGGTTAAACTAATCACGCATGACTTTCTCACATGGCCCAACCAGTACATCTAGAAATCTACAACAGCTTGTCATCCAGCAGTGGGTGAACCTGCCTTTTGTGTGTCTACACCACTGAGCATTTTAATATGTCTGACTGCTGGTTTACTGTGTGTTTTGCTTTTGCTCACTAAATGAATGAAAGTTTCTACAACAGTCATTGTCTAAAATGCAATGTAACTTTCCATTTAAGTACAAACTATTTCTTTAAACTGCACCAACAACCTCTCTGAACTTCTCTGAATAGCTTTGACCCTGCACAGTCCCACACATTGCATTTATACAACTCATTATCATCACCCAAGAAATATCACAAATCTGTATATTTTAGACTTTAGATAAATGTTCTATCAACTCCTGTAAAGCCATATTTGACCATCATGTTATTCAATGGTGTCTTTGTAAAGCCTGCCGCTGTATAGGATGTCTTTCAACCATCTGTTAAGATCCTAAAAAAACTACTAATTTATAGTGTCTAAAAATCTGTCTCTGACTAGAGGTATGACACTGCCCCCTACTGATATAAAAATGTTCTTACAGTTACTTACCTATCACCTGTCAAGTATGTGTTATGGATTTGCTGTGCTTAGCTGTCAGTTCGCTAAGTATATCATGGCTCTGGAGCAACTAGGGGTAAAGTGTCTTGCTCAGGGACACATTGGTATATGTGTCACAGTGGGGAATTGAGCACAGGTCTCTCACACCAAAGCATGTGTCTTATCCACCATCACCACCCAATTTATATATTTTTAAGTATTTTATAACAAAAAGACTGGAAATAAACAACTCACAAATCTCACACTGGCCTTTACTAATCAAACAATTCCCACACACTATCATCAGCAAAAACTGTGGCAAAAGAACAGTAAACAAAATACAAATAAAATCTGTAGTGTCATGGATAGTAATTACAAATAATTAATGAATAATCAATAATGACAAATATACACTGAGCTCTGAACAATTTCACCACAGCAATGCATTCACAGAAACAAGCTGGTCTCAATATAATAAATGAGTGAGTGATTAAAATTAAATGTAAATTAAAAATTACATTTTTAAAAGTGGGTGCAGTGGTTACTTTCAAATGTGTGTACAGCATCATAACATAATTTTACACCTTTAATAAAGCATTTTGATTCTAAAATGGGCAAATGTCTGTTGTTTTTACTTTTTACTTACAATATTTCCATTACACCACCAAGTAGTCCTTATGAGTAAAGTCACAATATGAGATTAATAAGAATAGTGGTTATTTGTGTTAAACTGTAGTGTCGCCCTAACATGTAGACTCAAAAGATGTAGCATGAGATTTATAAGTGCTAATGTGCTATTAAATTGATAAAAAAATTTTGTCTCCCTTCAGCCTCATTCAGGCTCTCATCGTCTGGCTTTTCTTTTCTTGGGCACACTGTATCTCATTTTATCTTCAGCAGTTTCACCCTCACTTTTATCTGGCTCTGTTGAGCTGCTGTCTGACTGCTGCTCAGACTCATCTGAGTCCTGCCTGGTCTTACCACCAGTATCTGGAGACTCTTGAAAGGCATATAACAAACAAGGACAAATAACCCATGTTGTGCAGCGCATTGGAGGCAGCCAGAGATGATCTAACAGGCAGGTAACTGCAGTTAACCAGCAGCAGTAAGTCAACCATGCACAAATAATGGTGACATCAGCATTTTTTTTCCCATTATACACCACCAAACCAGTCTATGAAGAGAGACTCTCTACTAAGAGCTAGAGGTCAACAGGAACACGCATGTGCCGCTGCTGATCAACACATGCAGGTGTTGACAATCAACCTCATCACTCATTCTTTAATACAGTTTCTCCCTGTGACATGTTTGAATCTTGCTCATGTACTTATCCTTCTGAACTGTTCTGCAGTACTGTAGTTTCTCTGTTGACCTGATCTGAGTTGGTATCTTTCTTGTGTTCACCAGTGGTGTCCTTTATGTCAAAGGGAAACATGACTGAGCAGGAGGTGACTATGCTTCCTCTTCATCATCTGTCTTTTTCTTTGACTCTGAAACAGACAGTAAAAAGAGTGAAAAATTAGTATAAAAAGTATAGAATTTTATTGTTCAGATGCTATCTTGGTTTAAAATCAATCGGGAGACATTTTCCAATTAGGCCACAGATTGCATTGACATAAATAAGCAATAAGGTGAAATCCTCCTACAGCACATGGCATGATTTTTATAAATTAAATTTGAACTGTTAAAAATAAGAAATGCTGTTGTCGTTCTTAAAGGCTGATTATTGGTGGAGATCAATTATATTGTCTATGAGCAAGAGAATACTTGTACTTTTTCTATCTGTCATGATTATTATAAAGAATAATCAGTAGATAAATTAAACTACTGCAGTACCTCTTGCTATGCACTCCATGGTTCAACATATAAAATATTACATTAAGTTTACAATGCATGCCATTCCCTCACTTTTCCCAGTACAGTGAAAAGCATACAATGTATACTATATACCCCAAAGACTTCATTAATAATAAAAGATAATGTACCAAACTATTTTTTCTATTACTAATTCAGATTATTATTTATAACTTAGTTTAATAGTTTGTCCAAATTTATCCAAAACGAGATCCAAAGTCATTTGAATGAGATATATTTCCAAGCTTTCAAAAATATTTTATAAACTTAATACATCATAAAAGAAGTGTAAAACATAGAAATAAAAATAAAAAAGTATCATCAAAAACATAAAATATTAAGAACAATGAAAAATTCAAAAAATACCTTAAGACTGAGAGGCAGGAAGTAATTAGTAAAACATGTAGGTTAATCCTAAATCTCAAAAGCTAATCTAATCAATCTTTCATACCATTAGTAACCTGAAGCTTAAAAGTTGGGTGACCAATAATATGTGATATAAATAAAACATCCCAAAACAGAAAGCATACATTCAGCAGCCTTTACTGTTAGCTGGCAAAAGACATCTAGATTTTGTTCATTTCATTTACCTAAGGAAACTAAAGTAGCCTAATATACAACAGTCAGTATGTTAACACTAACACTACTATGGGTGGGTATAAGCTGGTAAAGGAGATATGATGTCACTGCCTAAAAAGTTTTTATTTGTCACTGCAGAGGTGCAGCCAAAGAAAGTTTTGCTACTATTGTAACACACACACGCGCGCGCACAAAGACATGTTACCGGTCTTGTTAATCCCAGCAAATCCTACAGTAAAATGCGTTGCATCTGCATCACCTTTGTCATTGCTAGCCAGATCAATAGGATCCAGAGGCTTGTTATCTAAACCTGAAACAGAAAGAAAAAAAAAAGAAATTCAAGACCACGAATAAGACCAAACCATTCAGAAGTAGTCTTAGTAATTGGGAGTCAAACAATCCAGTAAGGAGCAATGTATGATGTTAATAACAATAACGTGTATAAGTTATAATAAATAACATTTGTGTCAGTGTAATCTTTTTGTGGCCTCCCATCTTGTACATCTAAACCATGTGCTGTAAAATAGAAAAGGATAAGAATTAAACAAAGAATGGTTCCTGGTTCAGTCCATATTAGTGTCGGTTAATTATAATTTGTGACACATGCCATTCTCTGAAATGATCTCAATTTCATCACTCTATTCTGTACTGTATACCCCCAAAATGTATATATATATACACACAAGTCACTATTATGTAAGTAAGCCCTAAAAGGCAAAGTGAGAAGATACAATAAAGAAATCTTAAATACCATTGGATGTTTGATCATTATTATTAATATTTAAAATGATTTATATACGAAGGTTGTATTTTCCACTCCCTGTCAGGACATTTAATCATGTGGCTGAGGCACAAGATAGATATTTTGTTTTGTAAATAATGACAAATTAGAGAGAAAGCCACCCAATGCATATGTTCTCTCACCAGTAAAGGTAATACCATAGTAATCAAGTTTTAAACCCAGGTTTTGCTGTTGTAGCACACACACTTAATACATTTCTTGGCATCAGTTTCTTTTGTATTTGCCTGAGTGTTGTGAATCTGGTTCAGAGAGAGCAGTTTCCAAAACTGGCTGTTCAGGCTCAATGAAGACCTCCAAATCCTCCTTGTCCGCCACACCAGCTGGTTCAGGTTCATTTGCATCTGCATCACCTTTGTCATCTATGAAGCAAAAATGACAAACACTTGCTGATTCCAGCTTCTCAAATGTGATGACTTGCTTCTTTTCTCTTTTTATATTGTTAATTGAACACTTTTGGCTTTAAGACTTGGTCAAACAAAACAAGCTACAGTATTTGAAGATTTGTTGGAATATTATAAATAAAATGATTAATTAAAATTAACTGATTAAAACAAAAAATAATAGATATAATAGATTAATAGATTTAATATAACAATAATAGATTAAATGATGAGGAAAATAAGATTAGCTGCAGCATTAATTATAGCTGTTAGCTAACAATCCATTTTTGTTTACTAAAATAAAGTACCTTTATGCAATTTTTTGTCAGAAATGTTTCCATCATTCTCAAACTGCTGTTTCCTTTGTTCGACTAACCCTGGAAAGACATTCATAACCAGATAAATGAATTTGAAGCACCCTTCACACCATGTATAAGTTAAATAAATGATTTTCGTGTTAGTGTAACCTTTTGGTGGACTCATATCATGTGCTGAAAAAAAAGGGAAAAAAAGGAAGATATGAATTAGACAAGGAATGGTTTCTGGTTCAGTCCATAATACTTTCAATTAATTCTAATTAGTGAAACATGCCATTCCCTGAAAATATTTCAATTTCATCACTCTATTCTGTTCTGTACATATATGGTGCACAGTGCGAGAGCTTGTAGAACTGATGTGAGCACTTTTAGAATATGATGTGATAACTTGCAGAACAAAAATATGTACATGTAGGTTCAAATTTTCACTTGTATGAAATATTTACACACGAGATGAATTTGAAGTCACAGAAAGAAAAAACACGAGAGCTTGTAGAAAAAATCTGAACTTTCATGTTGAAATGTGACGTCAAAGAAAAAATAATATGAGTAAATGCTGCATTACCAGTTTCAGCTGTCACTGCATTTATGTAAAAATCAGTCTACACTTTTGTAAAAAAAAAAAAATTGTGACTTCAAATTTAGAACACGGGTGTGTGAATATTTTCTGAGTGAATATTTCAACATACAAGTACAGATTTTTTCTACAAGCTGTGTTTTTTTATTTATTTGACTTCAAATTCACCTCACAAGTTTTCACATCATACTGTACAAGTGCTCACATCAAGTCTACAAGCTCTTGCATTTTGCACCATATTCACCTTCATATGTATACTCCCAATACACTACAGAAATACATATTCTATAGGATATTTATCATTAATACCTTTGGCTTTAGTCATTTGGCTGTGGCTGTTTTGTAAATAATAACAAATTAAAGTGAAAATGACACAATGCATAATGTTCTTTCACCATTATTTTCCCTTTCAAATTGCTTTAAACCCAGATTTTGCTACTATTGTAACACACACACACACACACACACACACACAGACAAAGAGATGTTACCGGTGTTGTTAATCCCAGCATATCCTGCTGTAAAATGTGTTTAACTGCTAAATAGATGCACTTAAAGTAAAGTGTCGGCTCTGTCTTATTCCTGATGTTTACTTTTTATTTCATATTTGTCTGAGTGTTTGTTTTTTCCTGTGACTATTCTGAATCTAGCTCAGATAGTGTCGTTTCCAAACCTGGCTGTACAGGAGCAATGGAGGATTCCAGATTAGACTGCGAGTCCTCCAACAAACCAGCTGGGTCGAGTTCATTTGCATCTGCATCACCTTTGTCATCTATGAAGCAAAAATGACAAACACTTGCTGATTCCAGCTTCTCAAATGTGATGACTTGCTTCTTTTCTCTTTTATATTGTTAATTGAACACTTTTGGCTTTAAGACTTGGTCAAACAAAACAAGCTACAGTATTTGAAGATTTGTTGGAATATTATAAATAAAATGATTAATTAAAATTAACTGATTAAAACAAAAAATAATAGATATAATAGATTAATAGATTTAATATAACAATAATAGATTAAATGATGAGGAAAATAAGCATTAGCTGCAGCATTAATTATAGCTGTTAGCTAACAATCATTTTTGTTTACTAAAATAAAGTACCTTTATGCAATTTTTTGTCAGAAATGTTTCCATCATTCTCAAACTGCTGTTTCCTTTGTTCGACTAACCCTGGAAAGACATTCATAACCAGATAAATGAATTTGAAGCACCCTTCACACCATGTATAAGTTAGAATAAATGATTTTCGTGTTAGTGTAACCTTTTGGTGGACTCATATCATGTGCTGAAAAAAAAAGGGAAAAAAAGGAAGATATGAATTAGACAAGGAATGGTTTCTGGTTCAGTCCATAATACTTTCAATTAATTCTAATTAGTGAAACATGCCATTCCCTGAAAATATTTCAATTTCATCACTCTATTCTGTTCTGTACATATATGGTGCACAGTGCGAGAGCTTGTAGAACTGATGTGAGCACTTTTAGAATATGATGTGATAACTTGCAGAACAAAAATATGTACATGTAGGTTCAAATTTTCACTTGTATGAAATATTTACACACGAGATGAATTTGAAGTCACAGAAAGAAAAAACACGAGAGCTTGTAGAAAAAATCTGAACTTTCATGTTGAAATGTGACGTCAAAGAAAAAATAATATGAGTAAATGCTGCATTACCAGTTTCAGCTGTCACTGCATTTATGTAAAAATCAGTCTACACTTTTGTAAAAAAAAAAAAAAATTGTGACTTCAAATTTAGAACACGGGTGTGTGAATATTTTCTGAGTGAATATTTCAACATACAAGTACAGATTTTTTCTACAAGCTGTGTTTTTTTATTTATTTGACTTCAAATTCACCTCACAAGTTTTCACATCATACTGTACAAGTGCTCACATCAAGTCTACAAGCTCTTGCATTTTGCACCATATTCAACTTCATATGTATACTCCCAAACACTTACAGAAATACATATTCTATAGGATATTTATCATTAATACCTTTGGCTTTAGTCATTTGGCTGTGGCTGTTTTGTAAATAATAACAAATTAAAGTGAAAATGACACAATGCATAATGTTCTTTCACCATTATTTTCCCTTTCAAATTGCTTTAAACCGAGATTTTGCTACTATTGTAACACACACACACACACACACACACACAGACAAAGAGATGTTACCGGTGTTGTTAATCCCAGCATATCCTGCTGTAAAATGTGTTTAACTGCTAAATAGATGCACTTAAAGTAAAGTGTCGGCTCTGTCTTATTCCTGATGTTTACTTTTTATTTTATTTGTCTGAGTGTTTGTTTTTTCCTGTGACTATTCTGAATCTAGCTCAGATAGTGTCGTTTCCAAACCTGGCTGTACAGGAGCAATGGAGGATTCCAGATTAGACTGCGAGTCCTCCAACAAACCAGCTGGGTCAAGTTCATTTGCCTTCTCAGAGTCTGAGGGGTCACACTGTGGGATCTTTTTCCCAGCATCTTCACTGAGGTGGTCTGCATTTGCATCACCTTTGTTATCTAAACCTGAAACAGAAAGAAAAAAAAAGAAATTCAAGACCACGAATAAGACCAAACCATTCAGAAGCAGTCTTAGTAATTGGGAGTCAAACAATCCAGTAAGGAGCAATGTATGATGTTAATAACAATAACGTGTATAAGTTATAATAAATAACATTTGTGTCAGTGTAATCTTTTGTGGCCTCCCATCTTGTACATCTAAACCATGTGCTGTAAAATAGAAAAGGATAAGAATTAAACAAAGAATGGTTCCTGGTTCAGTCCATATTAGTTTCGGTTAATTATAATTTGTGACACATGCCATTCTCTGAAATGATCTCAATTTCATCACTCTATTCTGTACTGTATACCCCCAAAATGTATATATATACACACAAGTCACTATTATGTAAGTAAGCCCTAAAAGGCAAAGTGAGAAGATACAATAAAGAAATCTTAAATACCATTGGATGTTTGATCATTATTATTAATATTTAAAATGATTTATATACGAAGGTTGTATTTTCCACTCCCTGTCAGGACATTTAATCATGTGGCTGAGGCACAAGATAGATATTTTGTTTTGTAAATAATGACAAATTAGAGAGAAAGCCACCCAATGCATATGTTCTCTCACCAGTAAAGGTAATACCATAGTAATCAAGTTTTAAACCCAGGTTTTGCTGTTGTAGCACACACACTTAATACATTTCTTGGCATCAGTTTCTTTTGTATTTGCCTGAGTGTTGTGAATCTGGTTCAGAGAGAGCAGTTTCCAAAACTGGCTGTTCAGGCTCAATGAAGACCTCCAAATCCTCCTTGTCCGCCACACCAGCTGGTTCAGGTTCATTTGCATCTGCATCACCTTTGTCATCTATGAAGCAAAAATGACAAACACTTGCTGATTCCAGCTTCTCAAATGTGATGACTTGCTTCTTTTCTCTTTTTATATTGTTAATTGAACACTTTTGGCTTTAAGACTTGGTCAAACAAAACAAGCTACAGTATTTGAAGATTTGTTGGAATATTATAAATAAAATGATTAATTAAAATTAACTGATTAAAACAAAAAATAATAGATATAATAGATTAATAGATTTAATATAACAATAATAGATTAAACGATGAGGAAAATAAGCATTAGCTGCAGCATTAATTATAACTGTTAGCTAACAATCTATTTTTGTTTACTAAAATAAAGTACCTTTCTGCAATTTTTTGTCAGAAATGTTTCCATCATTCTCAAACTGCTGTTTCCTTTGTTCGACTAACCCTGGAAAGACATTCATAACCAGATAAATGAATTTGAAGCACCCTTCACACCATGTATAAGTTAGAATAAATGATTTTCGTGTTAGTGTAACCTTTTGGTGGACTCATATCATGTGCTGAAAAAAAAAGGAAAAAAAAAAAGATATGAATTAGACAAGGAATGGTTTCTGGTTCAGTCCATAATACTTTCAATTAATTCTAATTAGTGAAACATGCCATTCCCTGAAAATATTTCAATTTCATCACTCTATTCTGTTCTGTACATATATGGTGCACAGTGCGAGAGCTTGTAGAACTGATGTGAGCACTTTTAGAATATGATGTGATAACTTGCAGAACAAAAATATGTACATGTAGGTTCAAATTTTCACTTGTATGAAATATTTACACACGAGATGAATTTGAAGTCACAGAAAGAAAAAAACACGAGAGCTTGTAGAAAAAATCTGAACTTTCATGTTGAAATGTGACGTCAAAGAAAAAATAATATGAGTAAATGCTGCATTGCGTCACTGGATTTATGTAAAAATCAGTCTACACTTTTGTAAAAAAAAAATTGTAACTTCAAATTTAGAACACGGGTGTGTGAATATTTTCTACGAGTGAATATTTCAACATACAAGTACAGATTTTTTCTACAAACTGTGTTTTTTTATTTATTTGACTTCAAATTCACCTCAAGTTTTCACATCGTACTGTACAAGTGCTCACATCAAGTCTACAAGCTCTTGCATTTTGCATCATATTCACCTTCATATGTATACTCCCAATACACCCCCAGAAATACATATTCTATACAATCAATATCATAAATACTTTTGCCTTTAGTCATTTGGATGTGGCTCTTTTGTAAATAACAAATTAGAGGGAAAATGACACAATGCATAATGTTCTTTCCCCATTATTGGAAATACAGTTCTTTTCCTATCAAATTGCTTTAAACCCAGGTTTTGTTACTATTGTAAATAAAGCACAATATTCAGCAGCCTTTACCGTTGACAGTCTTCCAGTCTGAATTGACATTTTCGTTGTGATCTCTATCCAGGCCATTAGGCTTCAAATTCCTATTGCTTTGTAGCAAAAGGCCAAGTGGCTGCGTAGAGGGAAGTGTGGGGGCTCTTTCAAGAAGACTCCTATTTTCATCACCCTGAGCTGTCTTCTCATCTGACCCTAAAACAGATTGAAATACAAAATAGAACACCAGTACGAAAGAAAGAGATCTTAGACGATATCACCTTTAAGTAAAACAGTCCATTAAACAGCGACCACATGATGCACCAGTATCCATCATTATGTATCATCAATATAAAACAGTGGGTGCTTGTTCAGTGAGTGGATTATGACTTTTGGAAGTGTTTCTTAACACAGCAAGATAGGCCAAAAGGTTTCTCCAAAAATCTGACTGATCTAGATGCAACTCATTACACGTTTGAAAACATTCTCTCTTACTTTTTAAAATTAAAATGATTGTGTAGCTTCGGAGGTACGCGCTTATGTGCTAGTGCTTATCTGCAACACTCCCTGTACACAATGAAAAAACTAAACCAGTCAAAATTAAACTGTTACACCCTTTATGTTTTTTTTTCATTTTTTGCTACAAGAAACAAAGTCACTATGCTCATCTGGTAGCGATTTACTTTAATGACTACCTGGTCATCGTCTAACCTTCCATTTTCTGTAAATTACAAAAAAATGAGAGAAAATAGGAGAACAATACTCCTGAGATAGACCACTGAAAACATACAGTATCATACCTTTTGTTGATGGGTTTTCTGAATCACCTTTCTTTCTTTTTGCAAAACATGCTGGAACCGAGAGTGAGAGGACAGAAAAGAAGAAAGAAACAGTATGTTTTTGTTTCATACATTGTGAAGATCCCCACGACCCTGTATGCAGGATAAGCGGTTGATGATGCATGGATAGATGGACATTGTGAAGATTAGATTCACTAATAACAGCTGCTGGTGTGCAATGCACATGTGTGTACTGCACATACATGGCTTACGTACTATTACATTTAGTTTAACTGTTAAACATAGCTTTACAAATACATGGAAATGAATATAGTGAATATGAATACAGTGAATATATACTGTATAGATCATCTGGTTATGGTGAAACTTTTTGAACTGTACCTTTATGGCGTAGTTTGCAATACACTATGGCTACAACGAGTAGAATAATTACAACGATGGTGAGTACGCTGGCAATCAGTGCTGCAGATGAACTTTTGTCTGCACAGAAACACAAAATTCAAACTTGTAGCAACTTCTTATTACATTATATTACTAAGGAGATGGCGCATATATCATTTGTGTGTTTCATTTTTATTTAAATTTTCTGTCACCACTGGTAAAAAAAAGATCAAAGTTCAGCATTATTGTCAGTGCAGCAGTGCATGCATTATTTCTTAATGAAACCCATGACTTATGGCGGGTAAATTATACAAATGTCCTGTGTAAATCAGTTTCTGAAAGTACTTGAAATGACAACTTCCACAACATAAACAATAAACATACAGTAAAGCTGATGCCTAAGTAAAGTCTTACCTGGGTAACAATCCTTTGCAGTGTATGTAGCTGTTTCATTGCTCAGAGGGTTGCTCACCCTACACGTGTATATTTCATCATCATGTTTATCTCCCAGAGATATTGTGAAATTTGGGCCAGGCTGCACATGTCCATGTGAATCCCACTCCAACTTCATTAAGGACTGAGGCTGTCTGAACTCGGCAGAGCACACTAGCGTTGCAGAGCTGCTGCCATCTTCCATCTCACAGGATATTCTGGGTGTGGCAACTCGGTCTATATGAAAACACAGATGAAAATGAATCCATGAATACAAACCTAAATGAGAAAATAAATGATTCCCTTATGTCACATGGATGAACCATTACACATCAATGCTTTAAATGGCATAAAGTCCAGAAAGAACAAGTTATTGCAAAAGTTATAATTATAAAGACTGAATAAAGAATGCTTTGTGGGGCTTCCATATGACAAGATGCAAATCTCACCAAATGGCGGTCAATTGGAATATTTAATAACAATTACAGTACTTTGTTGTGTTAAGTGTGGGTGAGACAACGTTTCAGGTGAGAAGAAGATTCTGATCAGAAAGCGACAGTTCCAGCATGCAGCCTGAAGAGGTCTAAGATGTTTCTGATACTGCTACTCTGTTTACAGTACATGATGATGTATTGTGTTTTATAAAACACTACAAATACTACCAATTTCCTTTATTGTCTTGTTTCAAAAGACTCAATAAAGGCTTGACTCCCATGATGAAATTAACAACTTGAAACACAGACAATGCTAAAGGCTTAGTGGCTATAAATATATTCCCCACTACCACACCACAGGTTTTATTGTTTTAGTGTGTCACATGGTTTGACACTGATTAACATAAATGTATGCCCCACCTGAAAGGTTAATATTTGATAGAGGCACCTTTTGTAGCAGAACAGGCTTGACTCTGTGTGTCTGTATCAGCCTTCCACATTTGACCACTGCAATTTCCCCCCACTGTTTGTTGCTTAATGTTACATATTCTAGCTAGATTGCTCCTCTGTTCTCTGCAGCAGGTTTTCCTCAGGATTTCTGTCTGTTGCATTATATTTCCCCGGAACCATCCTCTATATGTTTCATAGTCCCTATTGTCCTCTGGAAAAGCCTCCACACCCTCGGGTTGTATGTTTTTTAGCCACTCTACTATAATATTATATTGCAACTGGTAAAAGAACTGAGCAACAGTTGTTGTATGCATAGTGTCTCATATTAAATGCATTGAACTCTGACAATTAAGACGTTTTCTGAATCAGGCTAAGTGTATCAGTTTCATCCATTGTAATGCAAAGTTGTAAAACAATAAAACAAGGGCAAACCACTATTTTGGGCCATTGGGAATCTATCAAGGAATAGGATCTCCTTTTTCCTTTACTGCAGGTAGTGTATTTTCTTGCGTATGTTGGTTTTAATCCGTGTTTCTCCAGCTCCGGAGACTCTGGCAAGATGAGAGGAGGCATACTTTTCTATCGATGATGCATGGTGCATCAGAGTGGACACTGTTTCCCAAATGTCAGACTTTTATGTTCTGTTAAGTTCTGCGTGTGTGGCTAAACAATTTCTTTCTGTTATACACCATATCTTTATACCTTCATGAATTCAAAGATATGGAATTGCTATAGCAACACATCAACTTCCAGCTGCAGAATGCAGGTACCAATGTTCATCAATTAACTGTATACAACCACTATGTTAAAAAAGTTAGTAAAAAAAACTTACCAATGACCTCCAATAGAAAAGTTGAACGTTTCAACTCTTGGTTTATGTATGCTTCCAATCATAGTATCCGGTGTCTTCATATCTGAGTTTAGCGATATTGAGCTCTGCAGAGATCCAGTCAAGAGTGATCCTTTTTTCATATGGGTGGTACACCTGTTCCTCATTGCCATTAAACTCTACTACTTTGTTGCCTTTATATTTCCACAGAATTTCCTTAGGTTGTCCAGTGATGGCTGGCTTGAAGTTGACCTCCTGCCCCTTGAGCGCATATATTGGAGACTGTCCAGCAACTAGACACAGAAACATAGACACAACTCAAGAACTCAGGAATACACATCTGATAAAACTGCCAATTTATCAGGTACACAATCTAATATAATCCAATAAAATCTAAAAGTTATAAGGTTTAGTCTTGCCAACACTGCGCCAGGCTGTGATCGGGGGTAAATCAGCAGTTGATCGGCGATCACCAGTCCTTATGTGTGAACTACTCAAGGATGCATCAAAATGGCTCCCCGACACATTTCTGACACATCGCTGATGTCTGCCAGATATCTAGCATGCCAAATATCTGGCGGACTCGACATCCACATCCAGTCAATGAGAGCAGGCAGCTACTTTTTCACCGCAAAACACTTTTTACTCCCCTCCAGCTCTCTGTAGCACAGACAATCCCTGCTACCTGAGTGTGCTAATCCATTCTTTTACACAGATTTTTTGTCTTTATAATTTGTATCTTTATAATAACAAACAACAGATGTGTAGATTCACGTCATTTTCCATTTCCGTTTCACATTTCACGTGTGTTTTCTTGACAAAACGTGGTTTGGAGACCAGCCTGGGGTGACAGAGTCGCTGTCAGCTGGTGTAGTGTGTGACCACCTATCACCTATCAGTCAGGTAGTATGAATGCCACAACGACTTCAAGACTCCTGTCACAAGACGGCAAGTTATGTAGTGTGAACGGCACGGCCATCGGCCGACGCTGATAATCGCGTAGTTTGCACAAGCCTTAAGTTTCATTTCTGTCGTCAGATTGAAGCAGAGAAGAAGAGTTTGCACAGACATCCAGGAAATGTACAGATTTGTCTCGTCGAGATGAACAAAAAGAGCCTTTTAGAAGTTCTGTTCTCAAGCTGTGGCCTGTAAAGCATGGGAGCATGCATTGGTCACAGGAATATTGACTGTTTTTATTAATATTTCAATGCTTTGGAAGCTTTATGTTATTGGGAATGTGGTTGTATGGAGAGAAATAATATCTTGAAGATTATCCCAATAAAAGTGAACATTTAAACAGTAAATATGGCCAAAACATGGACATTCGCCTGGTATGTTTTTGAAAGATTGTGTAATAACGGTTGTATATTAGTTTCTTTTCATCAGATTTACAGTTACAGTTGTATTCCAGGTGCATTATAATTTACCTTATGATGGTTTTGATGGTTTATTGCTTTAAAATATAGCTTTTTTTCTGTATTTGATCTCCATGTAGTCTGTTATGGTAAAATAAATATGTTAATGTACAATGGATTTATGTTCCTTAGCTTCTGACCTTTCAAAGGAGACCAGAATTATGCATCTAGGGCTAGTGGTTGAGGAGCTATTACTGATTAATTTTGGGTATGTTATTTTAGGTGTTTTTCCTGGAAATAGGTGCTAGGGTTCGTGTGTAAACACCTTTTAATATACTGTATGTGTGCTTATTTGTTCTTGACCAAGGAAATAATTTGTGGTTTGACAAAATATTTTTGGCTCATGGTCTACTTAACAACCTTTAATGAGGTTTCAATTATATTTAATCAATTCAATGTAATTTTTCAAGCAACATTGCCAAATATTCCCTTGATTCTCAGAATTATTGTTTCTCTTTGTTATGTGACAGTAAACTTAAGTATGTAGCATGTAGTATAATTGAAGTTGTGTATGTGGTTTAGTATAAGCTGAAAACTTAAGGTATGTCATTTGGATACAAAGTTGTAACACATTAAAAAAAACACAAGTATTAGGCTTTAATTAGTTGTATTTCTTGGTCTTCCTTCCCAGGTCAAAAAGAAGTGCGCTTAAATGCATTGAAAATGTACTAGAAATTCACATAGTATGCTTATAGTACATTCATACTTCTAACATGCTTACTAAAAGTATATTAAAGATATATTCTCTCTACTTTGAATAAATTGGTAATAAATATACTTAATTAAACTTTTAATAAATATGCTTAAATAAAAGCATATTTTTCACAACATTTTAGTCTACTTATTAAAAATATATTAATTTAACTCTTAGTAAATACTATTTAGGTGTACTTTGTGGAAGTACATTGTTAAACAATTACACTGGGTTACAAATATATTTATGCCAAATATGCTAATTGTGTAGGCTACTGCAAAATATTGTAATTATTTATGTAATTGCCACATGTTTCAGACTGATTTCCAGAAGGATATTTATAAAAATATATTTTTTTAACATTAAAATATATTTTTCAAAATCAGGTAAATAGCTAGTTGAGATCAGAGTTCTCTTCCATAAGGGTAACCTGGCCAAGAAGGAAGCAGCACATGTTGTTAACTTAACAAACAAACAACAACGTATAGTAACAAGCATACTTTAAATCATAATGTAGTTATACTTGTTTCTGTGTGTAAACAGTAAACACGTGTACACAGGGGGGAAGTGTGCCCTCCCGCCCAGCCCACTAGCACAGTGCCAGAGCCCTTTAAAGGGCTCCAGTCACATCGCGTGAAAGTCCGCTTCACGAAAGATAATGTGTACTGTATTTTTGGCCAGAAATCATTTTGTTTCTTAGGTTTCCTTTAATTTACTTAATACGTGGGTTGAAAAGAGAAGCTGCAACAATGTGCAGTATGAGAAAAATATGGTGTTTTTTCAAAATTAAACCATGTAAACCTGTTCTGGTACAACCCCTAATTAAGATTTTGAACCTGAAAATGAGCACAATACCACCTCTTTAATAGCTTCATAATCGAGACAGCAACTTTCGTCTGCCTTAAACAGTGTTGGGAGTAACACGTTACAAAAGTAACGCAATTAACGTTACAGTAATGTATTGATTTTGCTGTAAGGCAGTTTTTAATGTTACTAAAATTTTGGTAATGTAAAATCTCAGTAACCCTGTTGCTGGAATTTGATGCATGAGATTTTAACAAGGCAGGCCTGTGAATGTGTGTGTATGAGCCTTCAATTCTGCTTTTGCACTGTTAAAATGACCAGTGAGGTCTTTATCAGAGTAATAAATGCTAATATGCTGCTGTCTGTGTGCTAAAGAATAGGTTCACATTTTTATAGTCTACCTTACTTACATGTCCATGTTTACAGTAAATTATTGGTCACTATAATCATTATTCCTGCCCATATAGTCTGTAAAGACATCACCACAGTTGTCATTTTGGTTTAAATTCATTCTAAAGGTACACTGTTTTTTAGAGATTTTTCTTCACTGCAACCATGGAGGGGGTAACGTTAACCATTACAGTGACCAATAACTCTGTTATAACAGCAATGTTAAAGTGTACAAGGGTATGTGAGAATTGTTTTAGTATATAATTATAATGTTTTTGTGTCCTGAAATGGCAGACTACACAATATAATAAAATGTGATGTTGTATGAAATACTGGTCAACTTTATGTCCATTTGTATGGTCATAGATCCTGTAACTTTTAAAAGTTGAACCTACCCTTTGCCAACTTTAAACAACTTAATGCTAAACCCAGAGTTGGAACTTCCTGCCTTAGCTCAAGAAAATTAAATAAAGAATAATAATAAAGATTTGCTATAAGAACAGAATTACAGTGTTTATAATGATACGCAAATGAAGAACTAAACTAGGTGGAAGTACTGGCCTAACTGAATATTTAAACTCATTTGCAACTGCATTTCTTTTCTTTTAGAGCTTCCTGGGATTGTTGCCTCACTCAGAGGGCTTAGAGGCCAGGAAAATCTCAAAGGACCAGCTGGACCCTCACAACAATGTGCTCATAGGTATGTCTGGCTCCTGCACACCATTACTGTTTTTGCGCTCACTACATGTCAATGGGGTCAGACTAAATAAACAAATATTCTTGAGATAAAATAATTATATTAAAAATATTGTTATACATTAAGTAATTGGCTACTTTTGTACTTCACAAATTGACTGCTGTGTTTATGTGAAATGACATGTAGACAGCACAGTTGTTAAGCAAGTTTGTGTTATTTGTTGTACCTGTTTTATAACCTTTTATCATATACAGCTCCTTGGCTGAATGTACAGTAGTGTTTATGTAATGTTTTTGATCACGTTGTAATGGAAGAACTGAGCATTAACTGGGAGGGGTCCCTTGTGGAAAACCATTTCACCTGAACCTAAACGGTTAGCATCATCAGAACAGTTAGACATGAAGTTCTTATTGTGTTTCAGCAACTTTAAACAAAATAAAAAATCACACAATGGTAGTTAGTTAATTAGAGGTAATATTGCTTTGATATAAACAAAATATTTCTTTTTCCCTTCCACAGATGCTGTGTGTTAAAGCAGTTTCCAGAAGTGGCACATATGGTGTCAAGTGGCACAGTTTGCCATGAGGTCATCTGAGGCGTGCCCAGTGTCCAAACCGCATGAGGGACCCCCATGGGTAACATTAATGATGGGATGTGTATAGTGTACTTTTCAGTGATACTGGTCATATGTCATCATTTTACTGATTTTATTTTATTTGATTATTTATTTTGCTCAAGATGTGTTAAATGCTGCTGCACCTTTTAATGTACAGGAATTTATTTTTGTAATGTACACGTTTTACAAGTTTTTAGTTGTCTGTATGTGTGTGTGTTGTAAAATACTTTTTTTTAACTGATTTTTATTAAAAAGAGCATTTTGCAAGATATTTTTAATGCATTAATAATGCATTATTCTCATACTGAATGGTTTCATAAAGAAGCTTCCCAAGATATTAACAGTGGCTCTTGGAGTATACTAGTAATAAATTACTAATACACTGAAATGCTAATAAAAATGTTCAGAGAACACATTTAAAATATATTTAAAGTCTTCAAGTTTAGCACAAAAGGGTATTTCAAGTTCATTTTAAAGAAGTATATTTAAATTACAGTAAAGATACTTAAAATAGGTCCATTTTAACACAACTAAGTATATTAAAATACATATATTGCAATTATCTTAAAGTTGAATAAGTATTTCTAAAATGACACTTAACATACTTTAAGTTGTTCTAAAACAACACACTTAATATACACTTAGTATAGTACAATTAAAATATGATAAGTGCATCCAAATAAAGTGCTACTTAAGTATATTTCTTTTTCACCTGGGTTAGTATTCAGAAGTAATGCTGTATTCCTATAATAGCCTCAGTTAGGCTATAAATCAAGAAGTATTAATCAATACTATTTATTAAATAGTATTTGAAGGAGTTCAGAAACATAAGTCAGTACTAACTAATGTATACCACTGGCATACTTTTTATTTTATTTGTATCTGCTGTGAGAAAATATGGACTTAGGAACTCAACTTTGGATAAATCATTAACATCTCGGTCAGGCCTGCCAGAAGGTCTGAAGTGTAGTTTTCATGCCCACACAACAAGTTCAACAAATCAGCATAAACATAAAAAAAGAAAAACTCACCTCGGCAGGAGGTCAAGATGAAAAAGGACATGAAATAACGAGCCATTTCAGAAAATCAGAACAATACGCTGCGCTGCCTTAGCATTTTCTTTCACTTTCTCTTCGAAGGTGTCTTGTACCTGTGGCCCTAAACCGGTCTATCTCGTCCTTTCCAGTAGGAGTAAGTCGAAGAGATCATGTTGATACTCCTTCTAGCCTTTCGACAGTCGAGAGTAGGCCTACCAGCAAAGGTTAATATTAAACAGGCGTGTCAGGTTGACACCTCCTCAAGCATGAGTGCTTTCAGTCTCTCCACATAGCCTGCCTCTTTCGTAGAGTAAAACTTTCAGTCTGCACCGACAGGTTTGATTAAGGTGTGGCATAGTTTTGTAGGCACCGTTTATTTTAATAATAGTATATTTACCAACTTTAGTATTGAGGCGACATCACATTTCTCCATATCAGCGTTTGATATGACGATTTTATAACTTTCATTACTGTAACCTTGATGCCAGTCTGTTGTCTCAAAATTTACCAGAAGCTCGACTGAAAAGTCGGTTACCTGGTATCATCCCGGATTCATTTCTTGTTATGGTTGTGTCTAAAGCTGGAATGTAAGGTATCAAGATTCGAAAAATACCCGTCAGTACACTAGTAGATGTATAAAACCAGTGGTCTACTTACAGTGATTTGTTTGACTCAAAGGTTGTTACAGTGTGCGGAAATAATTTCTGTTTTAGATGAAACATAATAAATGATATTCATATTATTATTAGTAGTATTTGTTTGAATAAAACACATATTTATGTTCACCACTTGATGGCAGTGTTCACAGGAGAATAGACAAACTGTCACAAAGACATGGTGTCTGTGTGTGTGTGTGTGTGTGTGTGTGTGTGTGCGTTTGTGTGTGCTCGCGCGCGCGTGTGAATAAAAATCAGCAGGTGCTAGCCTATAGGGCTTCAGTTTGGTTCCTCAATGCAATGAAAGTCACACCTATAGTGTTGATATGCATATTTTCAGTTATTAATATGGATTTATGTAATTTATCACATCCATTCTGTCAGCAACGTTTTACAGCATAGCACGTTTTTGTATTCTTTATGTTAATGATTTTTAACTGTAAAAGCCTTGAAACATTGTATTTTGTGGTATTCAACCAATTCTGTGTTCATCTATTATTACTGTTATAAAATCAAGTTCAACAATTGCTGCTGTAATATAACATGGCTGCTATTGACCAACTCCTCATATTTAAAAGTGTCATAAAATTAACATAGTTATGTACACAAAAACAATCCCCCTTTTCATCACTCTTTCACTTTTCCTTTTCAATCCATTCTTTCATCAACAATAATGTCCTCCTCACAGAAGCATGTGTCATTGGCTCTCTGAAGTAGGTGTTATTCTGTGTATGTGTGTGTAGGACTTCATGAGTGTCACACTGCCATGGTGCGACACGCCCATAGGTAAAACACACTCCTCCGTCAGCACTCCCCGGCCAACGTCCCAGCACATCACTGTGGAGATAACTTGGTTCTTGTTGTCCCGTCCCCCAGTGATGAAAAGTTTGTTGTTACAAGCGGCGATGGCGCAGCTTGCCCTCTCCCCCAGACGGGTCACAAGGGACCAGGAGTCTGACAGAGGCGAGTAGCGGTACATGGCGTGCATGGCACCCCCTGGAAGCAGACAGAGAATGAGTAATTTAATTGTAACATAAGGTTTTTACATATACACATACACTTCCCATTTATTTACTGTATATGCAAATCCGTTTCTCAAACAATTTACCAGACAGATGAGCACATTCTTGAAAAACATTCAGCATTTGCAAGAACAGATTCATGCCATTCTTAAAAATTAATAACCAAATACCAGTTTGATTGATAATTCCCAGAGAACACACACAAAAAACATTATTTAGAAAAATAAATAAAAACAGAGATACCTGTTTTTGCAAATAACTCTTAATGCCAGAGATAATTTTGAAGAGTTGGTGTCTACACTACTTTTTCCACACTGTGGTCATCTCATTTTGAAATGAAACCCTATATATATATATTTTTGGCAACAAACACTTAACCATACTCCAAATATAAATCCACCAATGTACAGTGATGGAAGAAGTATTTAGATCCTTTATTCAAGTAAAGGTATAGCAATATAAAAATAATTATCCTGCAATTTCAGTAGAAGTTCACAAGTCATTAAAATGTATTTAAAATATCAAAATATGATAACACAGATAAATGCCCTGTGAATGAATATTATTTGTGTGAATTACTATTCATCTGAATGTAGCATTTCACGGTTTTAGTTGGTTGAGGTAAAGCTATGTATATCTATTTAATATACTGCATCACATTTTATAAACTCCTATGTTTTGTATGTAAAGTTTTAAATTGTAAAGTAACTAGAAACTAAAAAGATCAAATAATTGTAGGATTAGTTGGAAGTAGAAAAATCAGCATGAAATGAAAATACTGTACTAAAGTACTAATACTTAAAATTTGTCCTTAAGTACTGTACTTAATTAATCACAACCATCAACTTACCAACTATATAGATGCAGTTGTTGAATGTGACTGCATTAGTGCATTTGGTTTCAATGGGAATGGGTGCCCGTAGTTCCCAGATGTCTGTCCCAGGTTCCCAACACTGGACCTGATCAGTTGCCAGCTTTCCATTTGGCCCGCCACCAATCACATAGATCCATTTGTCAAAGCTTGCAGCTGCAAAGGAGCTCACACCGACTGCAAGAGGAGTCACCTGCAAGTACAGCCAGAAGGGCATTGAAGTAAGTATATGGAGCACAGACAAACAGGCATAGCAGGATATACGTGATATTAAATATTGTTTAAAGCAGTACACTTTATGGAGCATCAAATGTACAGTATTTAACACCAAATGTACACAAAAATAATACTGTAATTAACAAGGTTATAATGGAAAAGTGTTCAGTGTTAAATAAATAATTATAATTACAAATAATTACATCACAAAAATTGTGGAAATTATATAAATGAAACAATAATTTGTGAAGTTATTTAAGAAATTATTCAAAATCAATTGAGTTTTAAAGTTTTAAAGGTCTTCATTTTCATTTTATAATAATTATAATAAATTTTTCCCAAAAAGCTTTATTCAGTATTGAGTGACATGAAATATGTTGTTATGAAATGTAAACGCAACATTGACACCTCCTCACAAAGTTGAAATTGTGAAATCAAATGATTGTTAGCAAACAGTTGCCTATTTCCACATCTAGCAGACATGACACAACATTAGGATTCATATGGAGTTGTGTTTTTTGCCACCTGATAAATGTAAGTGCAGTATTAATTCTCCTTGTAGCTCTGTTTTGGTCTTCCCTTGATGGATGTATTTGGCTCTTTAGCTGCCAAATGCACTACTCACCAGCTAGTCACTAACTTTGTGTGGAGAGCGGAGAAAGGAAACTAGTAAAGTTATGGGATATGAAACTATAACAATGAGCTGAAAAACGCTCTGTAGTTCTCAGTGGAACTGCAGATTAGGGTTATAATTCTCTGTTCTCTACCTTCCCTCACCTTTCACATACATGAAATTATTGTTATTTGGAAAATATTAATTATGGCCGCTTTAAGGAACATTTGGTGTAAAGTTACACAAAGGTAACACATTAATATAGCATTCATGTTTACCTGTGTCCAGCGATTGTGAAAGGGATCATAGGCCTCTACGCTAGCGAGTCTCTGAACTCCATCAAATCCACCCATTACATACACCTTCCCCCCATGGACTGCCATCTTGTGTCTCCAGCGCCCAGTCATCAGACTCTCAATCTGGATCCACTTGTCCAGGGCGCCATTATATTTCCAAACATCATGCTGTGTCTCTTTACCTCCTGCAACAACAGGATCATTTTAGAAAACATATACAGACATTTGTCCAAGAACACTGATGCAATTACTAAATCTGTGCTCTACATTGGGCCACCCACAATTCTGATTCAAGATGTAAAATCCCACGACCTATTCTGAACATTCACAGCATACGTGTCGCTGAACAACTAAAGTAACCATGACTGAGGTGTCAGTTCCTAAATTGGGAAACACCTAAAAACCACATGAACTTTTGCTGCAGATGGTCTCACGTCTTCATTTTGTTTTGTTCAGTGGAACACCATGGATTCACTGATTAAAACAACATCACATTTAAATATCAGAAGCATAGAAACATTTACAACAACCTGTTTACATGATGAAGATCCAAGGAAAATTAATACTCGATGAGAGGACATATAGAAACAATAACTTGGCAGATATATAAACAGTAGGTGCTGAACAATTTCCCTTTCACCTATACATATCACAGCAACTAAGCCTTCTCTCACCAGAAATGTACACTTCATTGCGGAAAGTGATGCAGGCAAACTCCACCCATTTTCTGTTTTGGGATTCGTCCTCCATCTCTGTGATTGGAAGCCTGGCAACCTCCAGCCTGCTGCGTCTAAGGGGGTCCAAACAGGTGACAGTGGAAATGAAGCGTTCATCTTTAGTGCATCCTCCAATTATCAGGAACACCTCTGATAGAAAGTGCTGCACGCGAGGCTTGGTTCGTTCAGAGACCACCTATAAATGTGTTATACATGTACAAACCACAGTAAACAATAAAACAATGACACACAGCAGTAATTGTATCATAAAATCAAATACCTGCAAAAAAGGAGTTTGTAATATGGAATATTTTATAGGATAGTAGATTTTGCCAGTAACGTTTCCAAGCAGCATGCTAGGATTTTGTAAAATAACATTAGTTCCCTGTATACTGACCTCCCTGCCGGAGAGGTGATAGGTGCGGGCCTCTTGCAAAAGAGGAAAGGCCTCACTGCAACGGCGAATCAGTTCATCTGATTCCACTTTTTCAACAAAGTACGCAGGCTCCAACAATGGCAGTCGCACATGTGAAAGCAACCTGGCCAGTAAAGGATAGCGTTCATCCTGCTGGGCTCTCACCCAGTGCATGAGTGCCTCAAAAACACACTCCTCACACTTCACATCAAGGTCGTCCCTCTGCAGGATCACCTCCAGTGACTCTGCTGGCAGCTCCAGGAAGTCCTGCTGCTGGACTACTTGGGAGAACTGAGAGGTTATGTAGTCCTGAGCCCTGGTCTTCAAAGCCGGTAGGGCATGGTTTTCAGCAAGATTCAGGATCCCAATACAACTCTCTAGGTGCAGAGACTTGCTCATAAAGGCAGCACATGCATCCACCACACGCAGAAACTACAAGAGATAAGGCCAGCATATAGGCATTGAATACAATCTCAAGCTGTCAAATGAGTGAACATGCTGATGTGCATGCACAGGGTTTCTCAGACGTTGATAAACAGATAATGCTACACGAGATTTTTAAAAATGATTAGTAGTACTAGAATTTCAAAAGTGTGCATAACTAAAATAGACAAGACATTGCCTTAGAAACCAGAAAGGTGCCACAGGCCATACAAGTTTAGAATTATTGCCCTAACTCTTAAAAATAGCCAACATATTTTTTATATCTTCATCACTGTTTTACTATTTCATTTTGTGTTTTGCTTAATTTTTTTTCTTGTAATCTATGTATTTTAGCAATTTTATTGTTTTTCTCTATTTGTTTTAGCAATAATCACTTAAACCCTATTTAGAAAAGTGCTATGCAAATAAAGTTAATATTATTACAGGCATGTGTGCTCAATCAGTACCCTTAATCTTAATGTGATTGTAATTCTAACCTCAATCCTAAATAAGTCACTCCTAACCCTAAAAGAGCCTGTTGAAGGAGTAACAAACCAGAATGTGTGAACTTTTTGTCTTCAAAATCTAAAACTTAAATTGATCGTCACAAAAATGAAGTATAGGAACACAAACCCCTGCCTCCCCTTTTGTGTGGTGCAGCTGTGTAGTTAATTTAAGCCTGTATGGAAAACTGATCCTGAGTGTAAACAACTGGGCAACTTTCACTTCCCTCTCAGAGCTACTCATCTCATCATTAAGTAAGATGTTTGTTCCACTGAATGGTGAAACTGTCTAAAGTGAGAAGATCAGAACAACTTGAAGATTTTAAATGTAGTTCACTGTGATAGAACCTGTCTTTCTGAATTTAAATAAATCAATCATGTTATGCATTTTTAATACTTTTTACAGCTGTTTCTGCATCATAGTGGCATCTGCCATGGCTTTGATGCGCCATGTGTGCCAACTGACTACTAATAATTAATTGACACTGAATTAAAATGCCATGACTATCAACTATATTGTATAAAGAGTAAACAGCTGCTGTTGGGTTCAAACTTCACACCTCTAGTTCTGGTTGTTTGTATTTTTACTTCCACAGAAGAATCACATGATCATCCATGTGGTCACACTTAGATACTGTAGTGTGAGAAAGTACTGCAATTCTGATAAAACCCTTTCACAGCCAATTGGATAAGGTAAAAAATGTATCAGGCTAAAAATAAAATGGCTTAGGAACAGGTTTAGGTTTTTGGAAGTCAGTGACTTCACGTAAAAAATACATTAGTTCCTTTGACAATTACAGTCAAATTATGTACAACTTTTTGTCTTTACTGGCAATCAATTTGTAACAGTAAAAAAATTTGTGTTTGTTGCTGATAATGCGCTCAAGATTTACAAGGAACTCTGTGTGTATCAGATGGTGAAACTGCAAAGCAAAACTAATCCAGTATCTTCTTTAACTTTTATTGTAAGTAATTGTCATTTTACCTGAAATTGACTGGCAGCCTCTAGTATTCTCTGAACATTTGAGTGTGTGAGGAGGGCTCGGCTGGTGTAGGTATACTCTAGGAGAGAGCACATGGTTCCACTGTCCAACCCCTTTATTTCCACACGCTCCTCATGACTCTCCTTCAGACCACTGCAAAACATTGCCCTGCACAGAAAAAAACAGTCATTCAGTAAAACCAGCGATGCTAGCTCAATGGAGTTAGCCAATACTAGATTTATTTTACCTGAAGTATTGGCTGGCAGCAGCGAGTATGGCTCTATGGCAAGGGAAGTCATATCCCTGAACACATAGCACCACATCGGTCAGTTCTCTGTTCACTCGCAGGGTTTCCATTCCTCTCTGCAGCTCCACAGGTAGACCTCCATCTTCCCAGTGTAACTCACTTGAGCCTGTCAGGTTCTCTCTCTCCTCGCCTGGGCTGGAGCTATCTCCAAGAGGCAGCAAGGGACAGTCTGTAGTCCTCTCCAGTGAGTCACTCATCTTTCAAACCAGTGGCTCTTCATAAACTCACTATTCTAAGAAGAACAGTTTGCAGCTAGTGTGGATGCACCTGCACTTGTAAAAAGACCCCTGTGGTTTACGCTTGCAGCAGTTGTGTCGCTTTGAGATGTGGATTTGTTTTTTCCTGTCTTCTTTATACTTCCTATTCCTGTTCTGAGAGGAACATACGTATGTAGCAACACTTGTTACTAAACACTTCCTCTTCTTGTGCTGAATAAATTTCCCCCTAAGTTACTCAATTTGCCCTTTTTTCTTCTTTTCTCAGAACGACAGATGCCAGGTCTCCTCCACAAGACCACACCAAATAGAGATCAGTGCAAACAGCAATCAGCATCCTATTATCATGTTAAGCGTTTGCCCTTCCCTCATTGCCACAACTGAGGCGCCCCTGAGTAAAACCACTAATTCCCTAATGCAGTGGTTCACAGCCTTTTGGCTTGTGAGCCCTTTAAAGTGAAGCAGTGTCTACTTGTGACCCCTTTGCATAGGTTGTATGTGTCTATGGGTTGTGAACAATAGAATCAGATCCTCAGAGTTTCTTAATTTAACTGTTTCTAGAGGCATGAAGACATAAAACTGTCCAAGCAAAGAATAAAGAAAAGTTGAGAAAAATAAACAATAAATATAAATCATATTTTGTATCATATTTTTCCTTGATAGCTATCTACAACAATATATAATAAATTACATATTCACTATCACATCACTATCTAATTTAATCTATTATTATGTACATTGTATTTATTATTCATCCTCATACATAAAGCTATAATAGATCATGTTGGATTTCTGGATTTCTTCTGCACTAAATATGTGCACAATCAAGACTATGGCATTAAAATGTTATATATATTTAATGTCATATCCCATTCATGTTTTATTTGTATCTCATAGCCTGTCAGTGAATTTCTCCTCAGGGATCCATAAAGTCTTATGTCATCTTATCTTATCTTTATCTCACTGAAACATCCCCGGTAAAATAAAACGACAAAAAGAAAGAAGAAAGAGAATTGTCTACTACTAGACAAACCTTTGTCCTACACCCCAGAGGCGTCCATCCTGATGGTTATCTACCTTGTTCTTCTTACAGCAAATTCCCCAGCATGTATTTACTCAATCAAGCAGTAAAGCTCGGGCGAGATGCTGGAAAGTGAAAGTCACAGCTGCAGCAGTCAGACGCCTCCATCTTCTCCACTAAGCGGCAGTATTGCCTCGCTGGTCTCCAACACCACATCAAATGAGTGAAATGAGAAATGTTTTGCCGAATTAAGTCGAACTTGGACCCAAGCTGTTTCCTAGCAACGCAATTCAAACGCGGGCACTTTATCTCCGCGAGACTGATCGGGTTAATAGCCTACCAGTATTGACTATTATTATGTCAATTAATAGCTAATCGAATTCTGGGAAACCGGAAGTTACACACATTATCGGCTATTCTGAAATGAATGAAAGGTAAAATGTTTGTAGGACAAGGGCAGAAAATTTGTAAGACCTGGACGGGTGTCGCTCTCTGAAGATGCCGATAGAGTGCACCATCTGCCTGCAGGAGAGACCCGAGCATTTATTTCACCTCACTGCACATTATTTCAGGTAACTTTATGATTGAGGCTAAAATGAGCGCCTTCTTTTTCAGCTTGTAAATGGTGGTGTTTTTTTGTATCACATTTGATGATGGTGTCTAACCTTGTGATGTAGCCCGTATGAGCCCCAACGAGGACAGCGCGTTTTTTTCCGACAACGGAAATATATCTAACCCAAATCACATAAGACTGTAGATCGAGGCCGGAACAAATCTATTTGGTGGGTAAAAACTTAAACACAAACCACCGAAACATGTAGCCTACATTTTTATTGACCCACAGTATTGGTGACAATGCCAATACATTTAAAAGTACAGTATGCTGCAATGGTATGTGAAACGTGCAGGTTATATGTCAGACTTCCTCTTGGTGTACCTACAGGAAGCAACCACTTCAGTGTCTGTAAAAGCTCCGGTGGATCTGAAGACTTACTAGGGGCCTCGTCACAGATGCTATGGTGTGAACACTGTGGTACTTCTGAAGCGGGTTCAGGATGATGTGTTCCGTGCAATCATTTTGGAGGGTCAATTTGTTATTCTGTCTGGGACTATTTCTGCACTGTGGTAAGTTGTACATTGAATTCCTGCTGTTGAAATGGGTTCTGGTGAGTGATCATGCTGACTGGGAATTTGGTAGAATATTATCATATTTGTAAAATGTATGCCCTTGTTTTAAAAAGAACAAAAGAAAATGTAGTTTTAAAGTTAAGTGAAGAAAAGTAACTTGGTGTGGAACATTATGTCTGTGTGTCATTATGTCCATCTTAAATATACTACTAAAAAATAACAAGGGATAGTAATAACCAATAATACATACATATCAAGTTTAATGTATCTGATCAAACTTTAATACTCACTGTGTTTTCATGAAATTGCATTTAGCAAAGACTTCTGTGATTAAACTCAAGGATTCAGAATTGATGATTCACTTATGTTATTCGGTCTGTCTTTTAATAATTTGAAAACAATTAAATTGGTGTAGGCAAACAAAGTAATGGCAAATAAATCCATGAAACTGACAAGGCAGCAATTATCACTTCCTTTCTTTTGAATGTCCTGTAACAGACCATTTCCATTATTTGCAGGCACTTGTCCTCATTGATGCTTATAATAAATACATACCTCACAGCATATACTGTAAAAAGTTAATATTTATTGCAATGTGCAAAGTCACATGAAGGCTAAATAGCTTTGCTTTTCATATCAATGCAATAGTGAACAAAGGTTGGACACTGAATTGTAACAGTTAATGTTGCAGTATTCAACTGACTTCTGTGTTTTGTCTGTGGTTCACTCAGGAGAAGCCAGAGTGCACACTGAAGTACAGGCTGGGCCTCTGTATCGTGTGGTGGGTTCTTTGCTCTCCATCACCTGCAATGTGAGTGGCTTTGCCAGTGCTAGCACCAGAAAAGAATTTGAATTCTGTATTAACAAGCCTTCAAATCCCACTTTTGAAATTAACATCATCAGCACCAGTGACCAAAGCTTCAGCTTTGCTATGTATGGCAGCCGTGTGAGAACTGGGGAAATTACTCTGAAACATGTTTCTTCAAACTCAGTCGTCTTTGAGATACAAAGCCTAGAAAAACATGATGAAGGGGAATATGAATGTTCTGTAATCAACACAGAACAGATTTATAATGGAATCTATAGTGCTAAAACAACAGTGAAAGGTAATCAGTCACCATTCTATTTTTCTATTTTAAGACATACCTTTCAATGTAACTGCATCACTGTAATGTAGGATGGCAAAAATGTTTTACTTTTATGTCTTTGTGTCTGTTGCTGATGTGGTACCACAGTGATTGACAACTCCCTAAGCGTTTCATCACCTTCGTCCACCTCACTGAGCTATAATGAGGACGATGCTCTCACTTTAACATGCCAAGCCTCCACTAACACCATCCAGCACACCCATCTGTCTCTTGCCTGGTATCTCCATAAAGATGGCGAGGACAATGCTCATCCTATAATTTCTCTGGACAGAGATTTCACACTGAACCCAGGCCAGGGGTTTGAGGGGCGATACCAAGCTGGACTCATAAGTTTAGATAAAATGGGAGAGACCACATACAGGCTTAAGATGGCTCAGTTACAGCTTTCAGACCAAGGCAGGATCTACTGCCAGGCTCAGGAGTGGATCCAAGATCCTGACCGCTCCTGGTATGTTATCACACAGAAGGATGCAGAGGAAACTACCCTGAATGTCAACGCCAGAGGTTAGACGCTGCTAACATTTAACTGATTCTATTTAATAGCACATCTTGATAAGTCGACACATTCATCTTTGCTCTTCCCCTATGCAAGGTCACTGTGGTTTCTTGGCAGGATGTGTTTGTCTCGCTATGCTTTATTTTTTTTTGCCTTGAGTAGAGGTGGTGCCAGACATGTCTTCTCTGGTGGTGAGAGTCTCGGCACAGCCGACAACTCTGCAGGAGGGGCAAGAGCTAACGTTATCCTGCAGCGTAGACACACACAACCTGGAGGAAAGGTTCTTCTCTGTAGCCTGGCTCAGGGGAAGTGATGAGCTGGCCCGCATTGGCCCTACAGGCATTCTGTCTGTAGGACCCAAGTATAGCGTGCGAGCGAAAGAAGGCGAGCTCAGGGCAGCCCGGACGGGAGACAGAGATTACAGTCTCATATTGCAGCCTGTTAGAACTGATGACCAAGGAGAGTATATCTGTAGGGCATGGCCTCAGGACAGAGGCCAGGATGGGGCCTTTACACAGGGAGCAGCCAAGGACTCCATCAGCAAGTTGGTCAACATCTCAGCCACAGGTCAGTCAGCAAGTGAACCCATACTGACTGAGACTCACAAGACATTTAGTCAGAGTTTAATTTTGTTACCTGTGGGATGTACCATTGATTTTACGTTTTATCTTCTTTATCTCTTGTGAAGAATAATAAAGTTATTGTGTTTTCTATAAATATCCTCTCAAACACACCCTTGTCATCTGTCTGTTGTCTCATCACAGAAAGTGGGCTCTCAGTTGAAATGCAAAACACTCCGAGTGTGAACGAAGGTGACAGGTTGAAGCTCACCTGTAAAGTGCTTGGGGTCAAAGGTCAGCTCTCCGTCACCTGGCAACATAGATCAGCATCCACCACAACACCCATGTTCACCACTCTCATCAGTCTAAGTCAGGAGGGTGTTACGGCGAAAGCGAAGGAGTTCATGAGTCGCAAAGTAAAGGCAATGCGTCCATCAACTGACACCTTTACCCTAGAGCTTGATGAGGTCACACCTTCTGATTCAGGTGTCTACCAGTGTACTGTGTCTGAGTGGAATGCTAATAGCAAGACCAACAGCCAGTCACAGACTACAACTGTGACAGTGGCTCCTGTGGGTAAGATATGTCTAAGTCTACCTGTGTAGTACAAATTATTCAAGATAAAATTTATGATTAAACCTGCACATTGAGTTTCCTCTTATCATGTTTGATTACTCGCTATACAATGGCTTCACCATATATGAAACACCAAGGATGTGGATGTTGGTCAGTCTACCAGTTGGCCAGATTTCCATGACACTGAGAATGCATATTCACAGTTCCCAGAAGATTATTCCCAATGATTTGACAACCCCTCTGATCTTTCCTGTAGTACCACCATCGGGCTAAAACTTCCATTTGAATGCAAGACATATCAAAATCTAATAGGAATACACTTTCTGAGTGCATTCGTGCTCCACAGAGGAGGAGCCTTTTCCATTTCACCTCTGCATACATTTTAAGTTTGCACTCAAGACATTTCAAAACCCAATGGGCAGATTGCCATGACATATGCACAATCAGGCATCCAAGAGGAAAATTGATTTTAATCAGTGCAAACTTTGCACTTTGAGCCAGACCATGAGTAAAGCTCTCAGAAAAACTAAAAGGATGTTTTTTGTTCTGTCCCAAAAAATTTTGTGTTGTAGGGTGTAAAGAGGTTCACTACCAGTGCTTCAGACTTTAAGCTTGAAAATGCATTTTCATGCATTGAAATGATATAAGTATCGACTTTTGAGTGCCTCACTGCATATACCCTATTTGCATAGACTGTGCGCCAAGACTGCTTAATGCTTTAAGTTTTGTGTCATTTTGATGATTATGGGCATAATAACCTTTTCTTGTTTTAAAGAAGGAAATTAAATTGAGAAATGATGTACAAGATAAGTGTGAGAATAACTGAGAGAAGACAATGCTTTGTAAATCTAATTTATTCACATCTCTTTTTTACTTTTAACACTTATGATCACATGATGATTGTACGATGCTCAGTTTCTGCTTTCCTATTTGCCACAGTTGACTATTTGGGATTTTTGTCACAGATTCATTTGTGAAAGTGAACCTGATAAGTCGCAAAACCAGAGTGCCTGTAGGAGAAAATGTGGAGTTGATGTGCCGGGTCAGAGGGCCACGCATACCATTAACACTGACTTGGAGCCTGCAGCGTGATGTCTCAACCCTAGATAACATTCTGACACTGTACTTTGATGGTGCCATCAGCTGGTCTGGAGACCAGCACCGCTACCAGCTGAAAGTAGAGAACAAAAAGAATGAAGTCATTCACTACCTTCTTATCAACGGTGCAAGCCACAGGGAGGCAGGGAGCTACCAGTGTAGCGTGTCTGTCTTTCTGGAGAATGTACACAAGAAGCTACCTGCATCCAACCAGGTGGCTGTGAGTGTGCAGAACCCAGGTACAGGTTAATTTAAATGTGCACATAAACTAGAAACAGGGGGAAACTGCTTAGCCTGGCTCTGTCCACCGGTATTAATGATGGCTGCCCAGTTCCAGGGCTCTGATATTGTGCATGCTCTCTCACTGACATAGCTTACTAGGACACTAAATAGAATAAAGTCAAAATATCTTGGAAAACTGCAGTGAAAATGGTCTGTTAAGATGTTGTATCTTGCAAACAAAAACAGGAAGTGTAAAAGGCAATCATACTACTGGGCCCAACACCTCTTTGTTTTTGTATGGATGTTGAGTTTCCCGGTTCCTGTCTTTGTGCAAAGTTAGGCAAACCCGCTGCTTGTGGTAGTCTTTTATTTACAGAACAGACATGAGAGTGGTATCAATCTTCTCATCTAACAGTCAGTAGAAAAGTGAACGTGTGCTTGTCTGCATGCATTTTTATGGCTTGTGCTGCACAACCACACATGCAGTTTCTCTGCAAAATAACCACTAATGGTGCTGTCCTAGTTGTGTGTTTTTTTTTACATACATTTTGTTATCTCTACTTTGGAATATGTGTATTTTTACCTGCATGCTCTTTCACAGGAAAAAACCTGTCCATTGTAAAGAAAGAAGAGGAGCTGAATGTGAGCAGTTCCCAGAATTTCACTGTCCCCTGTCATATTGCCAAACAATCCAGCATTAAATCTGTGTTCCAGGTCACGTGGTTTTGGCAGAAATGGGGAGAAACTGAACCTAGCCCCATATTCTCAGTTTACCGAAACTGTACCCTACAATACAGTGTGGAGAAGGGTGGTTGTCTAAGATATGACCACCCTTTGCCCAACCAGTTCAGCCTAACAGTTTTGAAGCCAGGTCCTGAAGATAGTGGCGTGTATTTCTGTGCAGTAGAAGAGTGGCTTCCATCTCTGTCCCATGGGTGGTGGAAGATTGCAGAGGAAATGTCCGGAAATTGGACTGTCAATGTCTATGCAGAAGGTAAGCACATCTTAATGTGATTAGCACTTTCTCCCAAGCAAATATCAGTGGCTGAAAACCATGTTAAACGATGTGTGTGGACAAAAGTAATGAATTCTTTGTTTTCTTCTTTGTAGGACCTGCTAAAGCAGTCTTTGAGCCAGAATGCATGTCAGGTACCTGGATAGGGATTCTCGTAGCTGTTGTCATCGGCACACTGTTGGTCATATTGCTACTGGTGCTGAAGATATGCCGGAGTAAAGGAAAGAAGAAAGGAGAATCTCTGTGGGCAGAGCAGCCTCTGAACACCAAAGCCAGTGCAGAGGAATGAAACTCAAAGAGGAAAAATGCAATTTAAAAAAAAAAAAGTTGTTTTATAACTATATAAAGTTGTATTGTATGTTTGTTTTTTAATTCAAAGTTCAATAATTTGTTTAACTGAATTATGATGATCTGTTTTAAAAAAAACAAAAACTTGTTTAAATGTTTTATACTCTGCAGTGGGGAATAATTTTGCCTTTTTTGAATTAAATTCATTAAGCCTTTAAAATTAAACAGGCACTTCATTTTTACAGCTAGAACTTTTTTGCATAATCACTAGCTTCTTAATGCCTGCAATGGACAGTTGGGCTAAGCAGCAGATCAACTCTGTGGCTTTACACCTACAAAGCAACATACTCTGACAGATTCCTTTTTTATGTAGCAACATAGCAGGCAGCTTGATGGCAGGAGGTGAGTCAAAGTATAACATGTCTAAGGGAGCAGCTTAGCACAAAATGTGGTAATATTTAAAACCTTTCTCTGTGAAACACAGCGATGAATCAACCAGGAAATGGTCTGTGGTTGTGCAAGAGCACAGAATGACTGTGTGGTCAGCAAAGCTGCTGAGCTGTGAGTTCGACAAACATTTGTGCAGACAGTCACGGTATTCTTAAAAAGGTTACATTTATACAATGGAAGGCAAAATTGAAGATGATCACATCATTTACATGTGACTCTGGATGCACAGTTTCACTTCTAGATGAGATGTGAAAACTTCAGTGTGAGTGTCCTTCAAGGAGTGTTTACTTACCGAATGTGTGTTTATGGTGGACAGTCCGTATAACAGTTGTTTTGGCTCTAATCCAGCACATTGGATTTAAAATGAAACCATTATTATGAGATTAAATCTCTGGCTTTCAAGGGTGTTTCATACGGTGGCATATCAGGGTCATTGTAGATATATATTACAGAGAGGGGGGTAATATTCTGAGAAAAGACATCTGACATTAGAGTCGTACATTTACAAAAATAAATCTGCTATTCTGAGTTAAGTGGTAAATTTGCAAGAAAACAATTAGGGGTGGGGGTATTGCTTCATTTGTGTCATTAACAAAACAAGACAGTCAGTGCAGTCATAAGCAAAGAAGTGGAGGTTTCATACAGGCAGATGTGAGTGATGCAGCAAAACCACTAGTGTGGCCAGTGTCACATCTTAGTCATTTATAAATGTCTGCAGTTCTTCCCCATTTTTTTAATGCTTTTGGGCTTTGAACAGAAGGCAGTATCTCATAATACTGGTTGGTGAAAGAAGCTTGTTATTAACATCTGCATACCCTGCTTTTAATAGTACAGAGCCTTTAATAACATAAGCATATCTGAAAATTATTTTTTTCTTGTAAATTTGTCACTTTAATCTCAGAGAATTTCTGTGGGTTTTTTGCAATTTTATGACATCATACTCCGATACCTCAGAGAACATTTAAGTTTCTTTCTCTATTTCTTTATTTTCTCTTGTCAGTGTGTCCCAATGGTTCACCTAGTACAGTGTGTGACCCATGTACTAAGGTCTTTTACTGTAGCAGCCTGAGTTCAATTCTAGCCCATGCCTTTTCCTATATGTCTTTCCCTCTGTCTCTGTCTCCCTACAGCATCCTCTATCTAATACAAAGCCAAAATTTATTTTTGTTTTTTCAAATTTCATTTCAACAGCCCTAATACAACGTCGTAGTTTCAGGGTTTTCAAATCCATAATGATTGAATAATTTAGGAATCGTCATCTCTCTTAGGGTCTCATAATGTAGGAAAATCCAGGTGATCCTAAATACACATTTAGAGCATTTTGGGCTAGAGGAGTGGTCTTGATTGGCCAAGTCAATAACCTAAAATCACCTGTCTTTCAATTCTTGAAGACCAGACTGAAGGGTAAGAAGTTGAGATGCCTGCAGTACACACCAGCCTGGTAGAGCATGGTTGATGTCTGTGAGTTGGAGACAGTCATTGGTTGTAAATGATTTTCAACCAATTTTACATATAAATTGTTTAAATTTTCCATTAATCCCCTAAAATTGGGGGACTATGCATTAAAGAGGCTACAATTTCTCCATGGTTTTTCTGCTATGTGTAAGCATCTTCAAAGTAAAGATTAAAATCAGAATTTTAACTTGAAAGTCCAATGTGCCAAAAAAATGTCTCCCTGTCTAAATACTGACAGGCTGCACTGTACTTGTGTAGCCTATGTTTGCTCATGAATACATGTCACTGTCAGATTATGAATCTACGATAATGTAGTTGTTGTGTTTAAACAGATGTTCCTACTAAATTGGATGCTGGAGAGTAATCAAATCAAAACTAAAGAAGAAGAAATTAGTGCTTCTCTCTGTCTCTCTCCCTTTCTCCCTACATCAGGCCTATCAATGTTTAACACCCCATCTGTGTAAGAGACTAGAATAGAATCCATTTTTTGCTTTCATTTTTGAGGAAACAGACAGAGACACCATATTACTCCCATACACAGGAAGGTTATTGTCTGACGAGTGTATACCAGCTATGTATCTACAAGTAGCGGTTTTCTAAAAGATGTAAGAGACTAAAAGTTCACTGAGGACTGTGAAGGCAGGCTGTAGTCCTCAGTAGCCCCGGAGAGATGTTGTAGCACTGTCTTTGGTCTTGAATTATACCAGCCCTTCACACTCTGGTGGACTGACTCCTTCTTACAGCTTCCCTCTTAACTTTACTGTAATTCTACTCCCTTGTGTTTCCATGGCAATGCCTGTCAGAGCAAACAAAGAAACATTGAATTTGGGAGACAAATCAATCCCTCTGTCTATGCGGCAAAGACTAGATGTAACAGGGACAAACTAGAATGTACAACACCAGACATGTTAGAACAGCCTGGTCATGCTATTTGCCTCAATAAACTGAACAATGACAAATTGAACATCATTGTTTCATCAGTTCTTGTTTTGACATTGGATGCGGTGCATGAAGCGCAACGTAGAATTTATAATTCTTCACTTTCCAAATATCCAAAACTCATAGGTGTTAAGAAGACATTTAGGTTCCAAGTTTGCCAGCATGTAGCTGGATGCTTTGAGCTGGTTGTCTCTACTGCTATGATCTCGTTCCAGATCTGATTTGGCATCAGCTTGACGCTCTGTCCTTCATGTGCCATGAATGGAATGGACTAGATCTATAAAAACCATGTGTCCCATTATTCCATAACATCTTGAACTAAAGCTCCTTCAACTACTGGAGCAACTGGTTTATTGACACACCTAAAAGGCATGCACAAACATCTGTGGTTCCCAGGATGGAAATCTACCAACCTTTGGGATTCCCTGACTTTTCTTGTAGCGCCATCGTGAGACTGACAATCTTGGTTCAGAGTGAAATGTCTTAACTACTGGATGGTTTGCCGTGAACCTTTGTATAGACATTCATGCCCCCCTCAGAATAAATTATATCCCTTAAGGTTATATCAAGCACCATCACCAGATCATGGTTAATAATCAAAGACCAAAGTGTTTCACAAGTAGACAGCAAACATGAACACCAATATGTGGTGTGTCAAAGCAGCCACAGGAAAACTGAACTAATGCATGAACCTGCAAGGATAGGAACATTAGAGCAAGCTGTTTTTATATATTTTATATATTTCATAATGTTGTTCTACGGTTGTTCTATGTGTCACTGTACAGTGGCAGTAATTGCAGATACCTTATGCACTCTAACTGTAGTTGGCTGGTTTAACTGTCTGGGTCTGTCTGACCATATGCCCTGACTCTTCCAGTTTCCTAGAGTAATACATATTAATCATAAACAACATATATAAACCTCTTTCCTACCAATAGTCCACTATGCATTTAAATTCCAGTAAAAAATAAGAAAGTAATAGATTTAACTGATGGTATTTATTATGTCTAATTTTAGGTGGGGGGCTGCAGCTCCCTCAGCATCCCTACATCCCACATCCATCCTTGTCAAAGCTATTTTGTGCACACAGTTGTGATTCCATCACTTCAGAGAATACTGACTTGCATTCATTTCCTGGAGATTTACCGTAACCCTACCCTTAACCTAAACCTAACCTTAAACTAACCTTAAACCAAGTCTTCATATTAAAATGTAATGATTTACATTATGGGGACTTGCATTTTATCCCCAAAAGGAAGGCGAGTCCCCACAATGTGACTGTGTAAACAGATTTCTGTCCACACACATACACACAGTAAACACAAGTGATCAAAGTTAGCCCTCAAACCTCTTGAACAAGAGGATAATGTTTCCTGGCAGAGGTAGGGGGGACACAAGGGGAGAGAGACACTCAAACTACCATCTGCGCGAATTACGTAACTGCTCTCCTGAAATCTGAAAGTCTTCTCTGAAGCACTTTTTGCCTCCTCTCACCTCAGCTCACTGAATCTCTCTGCTTATACCCTCAACTCATCTCTACTCCCTCATGGCCCTGTCTCGCCTTTGATATTCCCATTTCTCACAGGACCACAAGCCTGACAGAACAGCCTTCGGTTCCTCACCCGAACCGTGAGCTACATGGTTTTACTCTTTCTCTGTCTCTCAACATCAGTCCTATCATCTGTCAGCACTAGAGGGAGCTATTGATAGCCAAAAGGACAGACTTAGTAGGCAACAGGTTAACATAGAAAGGGTTGAGTCAGATTGCTTCAGAGCTTGTCATTGCAGCACCCAGTTGGAGAATATAAGAAAGTAAAACTGCAGATTTCTTTCTCTGCCGAGTTCAAGGGCTTTGCAATCAAGTGTTTGTCCACACGAGTGAGAGAGCAGAGGAAAAACTGCCTACAAAGTTGGACAGAGACACACAGGTGGAGAGGCTGAAAGCAGTGTGTAAAGGCGACATCTCAGACTGCACACTGTCACAAAAATAGCAGCATTTGAGAAGACCCGAAGCAAACAGAGCATGATTGACAGCTGCGGTCTCTTTATGCAAACAGAGAATTACCTCATTTATCCAACCCCACCCCAACACACAAATATATAGACATGCAAACTGTATACAACTCTCTAAACTGTAAAGAGCTGTCTTCCTTTTCTTGTAGAGGCCTGATTGTTATCCCTAGAGACAGCGCCGGCTGGTAGAAGGAGCTGGAGAGTCCAAAATAAAAACAGCTTAAATGGTGCAATATGAAGTAATAGCCTGTTCTGCTCCCTGTCAAGGGAGCGCTCAAGAAACTCAGAGCTCCCATTTCTTTCTTTCACTGTACTCTCTCATGCTAGAACTGCACAGATGAACACCCCAAAGCTTTATCTGTGTGCAT